CAATGCCCCTTTAGAACTGAGGACTCTCCAAGAAGCTCAACTACATTTGTCTTTTGTGCTAGAAACATGGATTTAATCATGAAAATCTGACGCGACTGAAGTCAGCGGGTTTGATCTCTTGGGTTGTTTGTACACTTAATACAGAAAGGCTGTGTCTGATTTTATTGGTTCCCACTAACAGTCAGTGCAAAAGGATGAGGTATTGATGCTATGTGAATTCTTTCCTCATTACATCAAATTTAACAAAACACATTGTGGCAATTTGCACTTGTGACATAATGAGTGTCAATTGCCACAAGGGAAGCACAGACAATCTGAGAACTAAGGGATGTGAGGATTTAAGTGGTTCTCTCAGACACCCACTTTTATCTTAACTAGGAGGAGTCTTGCTAATAAATTCCACAAGCAAGCACAACTCTGAAAATCTCAGTTGGTATCTCACGTCCGATGTGCTTTCCAGTGCAAGGAAGTGTTAGGAGGATCTGGTTCCCCTTAGGAAAGCCACAATACTGTTGGGTCCCTTCTCAAACAATGACAGTGACCCCCTCACATACAGCATCAAGGAAAGCTTGAGTCACAGCTTCCACAGCTCACCAGTCTCCATACTCAATTCATCTCATCACTCTTCCGGAGTTTGTCCCCCTCAACTTCATTGCAGGCCTCAAATTTGGTCTCTGTCTTTGCACACGAAACACACCCTTGACTATCTCAAAACTACCTCTGTAGTCCCTCCAAACTCTCATCACCCCAAAGCTGCTGCAGCAATAACCCACCTGTGATGATTTATCACTGCTGTAAGCAGCTTCCCTCCTCTGGGCTAGGTTCTGCTCACAGTGTTGCAAGAGCATCAAAGAACAGTGCTTGTTTTGTCCAGCTGCATGTCACACAGCAGCACAAGGCTCAGGATTGGGCAGAAACCCCATACATCTCCCCAGCTGCTGAGAACCACCTGCAGTCTGCAATGTGTTCTCACCTGCTTGCTAACAGCCTCTGAAGAAGCTCATTCAGAGCTTGCTTGGATAAATATAAATTGTTTAGTCTTCTCAGTGCAGACACGCCTAATCCACATCAGCATGAAATTAGATCTAACACTTGGTTTTGTTTTGCCAACTCTTTTTAAAAGAAGGGGGGGACAAGGTTGGAAAACTGTCATTTCCAGAAAGACACTGCAGTTACTGATCTCACCTAACTAAATATTCTTTATTTTTTCCCCTGTCACTTCATTTGTTTTGTTGCCTAGTTTATTCTTTTGTTATTACTTGAGACAAAAACCTCTTTATGCAGAGATCATGACTTGCCATACACTTGTACAGCACCAAGCACAATACTAAACAGATGGGCCTTTAGCACTATCAGTATAAATACATAATCATATACTGTTTCTCTAACCTACAGGGAGCACATCTGGTATTGCACACAAGAGTCCTAGGGCAGGACTCCTCTTTCTGCTGCACACCAAGGTAGAGCAGTAAACCACAGCCTCAAGTTAAGCTTTTAGGGTCTGGAATTACATACTTCAAAACTACACCTTGTGACTTTGAGACACTGGCCAGGTTAGCTCCAACTTACTGGAATACCGTAGCTACAGAATGCTGAACAGTAACTAGAGCATATACTGGTCAAGACCAGATACAGGCAGTGAAGTAGTTATTCACACACTTTTTTGGTCCCTGGAATCTATTTCAGCTGGCTGCACTTCAGTATAATCACCTTGATACACAGACACAAGAGGAGCTTCAAAGGACTCTTCCGTGATAAAACATCAGGAGCCCTTAGCTGCAAAGGTTAAACAGATACAGTTGATGCCACAATTGAGCAGAGCAAAAAACCACAAGATTACATGAGTGTATTTGCTCTTGCCTTCATTCCTCCTGTCCCCCAGATGGGCTGTCAAACTCAGTTTGGGAAACAAGGTGCTCCATCCATTGATCTTACCTTGCTGCTTTTCCTGTAGAAGTTAGTATAGTGGCTTTCCAAGCTAAAATAAAGGCCTGCAGATGCCTGATGCTGTACATCTAGAGGAAACATTATTACCCTGATCTTACAGATGGGGAACAGACAGATTAAATGGTTTGCCCCTAGACTACTCAAAAGGCCCTTAATTGAGACTAGTGCTGAACTCAAGTCCTGCCTCCCAGCCCATCCTTCAGTCAGACCTTCCTTCTCTCCAATAGGATCTGTAATTTTTCCATAGAAAAGCTGTAGAAACTATTACAATTTCTGCACATAAATTTCCACATGAGGTTGACAGAAGGAAGAAAAATGAGACAGTGGGGAGTAAAGTCAGAGGAGGCAGCATAGGATAACTGTCAGAACTGTCCAGAGCAAAGATTTCCAGGTTTACACATCCAAAGAACTGAGTCAGCTTCCTTCCAATAAATATTTATTGGGACCCCTGACTACTTCCAAGGTCAGCATGTGCCAGATATTGACCTTCATTGCAACAGCCCAAACAGCTTTTAGCAATCATGAAATCCATTATTCTCCAGGTGCTGATAAGCCTGTTCCCTCCCCTACTCCAATTTTGTTATTTTTAATAACTTACTCTGGAAGGATTTGGAATGTGAATTCCCTTTTCCATTCATTCATCTATCTTATTATAGTCAAAAATTCCATCAGCTGATTTCAAGTGATATTTAGTTCTAAAAGGCTGTCAGACATGCTGACTGGTAAATATTCATCACACAGAAAAGAGACACTACTCTTTCTGTGGATGGACAGGATTCCTGCACTCCAGGCAGTCAGCTTCACACCACCCAGACAATTCCATAGCAAGGAACAATTTCATTTTGAATTTCAGAACTTTAAATATGAGTCGGAGCAAAGAAAAGAAGCACAAAAAAATGGGTGGGTTTTTAGGGGCCTTCATAAATCCCACTCAAACAGCCCACAATACTCATAGGCAGTAAATGCGCAAGTCTGTAAGCTCCAGCTCTAGTCTAATATATCACTTATTCCTGGCTAAGGTTTTAAAATAAGAATTCCATCCCTCCTTCTTCCAGTTCAGTCTTGCTGGGAAGATGCTGCACTTAGACCTCAAGAGGGGACTTGTGCTAGTTTGTCACTTCTGCACCCTTTCATGCCCTACCTGCCACAAAACATCATGTGTGGCCAAGGTAACCCTGATGGCCACAGCAGCCACACTTATCCACTTCATGAAGATATGATCAGCAGGTAAGAACACCTGTACTTGCTCTGAAACACCAGGATTTCAACCTCAGGCTACAGAGGCTTGAACAAACCACAGGGCTCCAGAAAGCCCTTTTCACCTTGGAAAAAGGAGTTCAGGGTTCCCCAATTCTTCTATCATTCCCCCCAGGTTCTGCAGTTCATTGACAGAAGACAAAAGCCCAGCTTTGGAAGATTTCTGGGGCACGTCTGGTGCACACCACACTCAGGTTTGCAAGTGGAAGTTGGAAATATGCCCAATCTGCCAAGCTGACATCAAAGCAGTTGGTGGCAGTAACAGAGGCAGAATAGAGTCTGGATTAAAAAAACAAGCTTACTTAAGTTCATAGTAGCTCAGACTCAGCTCATCTTCAGCACACTGTGCAGACCCATTACAAAAACACTACTCCAAAAGCTCTTGACAACATCTGCAATTCTGAAGTCACAATTAAAGGCTGCTGAACGTTCAGTTCCTGACATTTCTCCTAAAAATCCTTTATTGGCAGAAAAAAACATGTTAAATCTTTTCTGCTGTGATGCCCATCCCATGCCAGCTACAATGCCAAGCACTATTTATAGCCTCATAAAATCAGAATGCACTTACGTAAGACTGCCTTAGTAAATGCAGGTTAAGGAGGAATAGCAAGCAAATCCACTTCTTTGTGTAGTAAAATCATTATCACAAATCTGTTATTGCACAGCAACAGAAAAGTTCAACAGTTGAACCCTGTCCTCACTCAGGTAGACTCATAGAGTTGCTGAGGTTGGAAAAGACCATTAAGTCCAACCATTAACCCAGCACTGCCAAGACCACCACTAAACCAATTCTCAAAGCACACCTACATGTCTTTTAAATAACCTCAAAGATGGCGATTCCACTACATCACTGGGCAGCCTGTTCTCATGCTGACTACCCTTCTGGAGAAGGGACTGTTCCTAATATCCAGTCTAAACCTCCCTGGCACAGCTTGAGGCTGTTTCCACTTGTCCTATCCCTTGTTCCTTAGGAGTAGAGCCCAGCACCCTCCTGGCTCCATCCTCCTGTCAGGCAGTTGTGGAGAGCAATAAGGTCCCGTCTGAGCCTCCTCTTCTACAGACAGCCACCGCCCCCCCCCCCCAGGTCCCCATCACACTTGGGCCCCAGGCCCTGCACCAGCCCCACTGCCCTTCTCTGGACCTGCTCCTGCACTGACACACGAAAGTGGAACTCTCACTGTGGAACCCTAGTTTCTCCCTCAAGAACTCAGGCTACCCCTTCCTTCTAACTTCATGCCATGCACTGCTTTCTCTACTCAGACCTCACCATTCCATCTGTGTGCAGTTTCCTAGGCTTCCCTGTTCCCTAAAATTACTCTTTAATATCCAAGTCTTCAGACTCTTCACTCTTTTCCCATCTCGCCATTTAGTTTTTAACCTTTCTGCAGGCCAGCCAGGCACATGCATCCCCCAGCTTCTGAGTGCTAGATGGCCATGAGAAAAGAATGCAGAAAGCACAGTGGAGTCTCTGTTCCCACTATATATCTACTTTTCTAGCAGATTTCTGGAGCAATGCTGATGTAACCCAGGAGGTAAGCTCAGACATACCCAGGATGAACTAGGAAGCAACTATCAAACCGAATCATTTCAGAGTCTGCAAGACTGGGGGGCATGTAAAGAACTCTCTCTTGGTCACATGTGGATAGCTCTTCCCCACAGGAGCAGAGGCTATCCCATTCAACCTAACCATTCTGTATAGAAAAGTTACGGAAAGTATACTCCACAGCCCAGTAAAGCTGTGGAGTAAAGCTCTAGTCTTAGAGCTTTACAAAAACAAGTTTGTAAAAATAACATACCTGTATAAATGCATGTACCGTTCTTCCTGAAGCTTCCTCAAAACATCCAGCTTGATGCAGGTATGCAACAACTGGATAGTTTTAGACCATGGTACTTGACTTCCAATGAAGTGTGGAAGACAGGGGCAACAGTCTACTTTGCCCATTGCTCCAACTCCACCTCTGACTGTGCAGGCGGTGGGTTTTAAGCAGCTCCTGTAAACCACTGAGGTATGACCAAGAGCAAGCAGTGCTGCCCAGGCAGGCCTGCTGATGGCTGAGGAGCCACCCCATGGTCCTGCACTACAAAGGGCTCCTCTCAGCTACTTGGCTGGGTGCAGGCTGCCTGCACATATAGACCAGTCCTGGCTACCATGGAAACATGGGTGATGTCAGCATTATGATGCAAGAGGGGCTGGAAGGGAGACCAGTGAGCTCAAATTAACATCAGCACATGGATTCTGAGCAACCGAAGACAAGAGCACCGATCTCTCACAGGTTGCATTTGTCTACTGTACATCTAAAAAAAAACAAAAACAACCCACACTTGCAAACTTTGCTAAGTTTGAATTCAATGCTTTTGATGTTTCCAACACCTCTTTAGCATTGTGTGCTGAAGTATGGATATGGCTGTTCCTACATGCACATCAGAATCAGCTCTGCAACTTTCCCATGAACTAGAAGTGGCAACATTGGAGCAGAAGTATTGAATGTCAATGCTGATGATGAGAAAGTTTTGTCAAGAAAGAATAGATACCATCTGACACATGTAACAGCAGCAGTAATTTGGAAATTAGAGCCCCTGACATATGCTTTCTAAAATTATCCATGAAACTAAAACCAAAGGCAATATACTTAAAATATTCTTACAGGAAGCCTGCAGACACAGCTGGCACGCATGCTGCAGCACTGTTGTCTGAACAGCACTTGCAACGCAGCCTTCTCTGTGGATGAGCACAGACATCAGCATTAGCCCATCCTTCCCCACCTCAAATGCCCATACCTCCAGTTCTACACATTGTTACACCACTAGTAAGACACACACATACCTTTGGTAGTTCTTGTTTCATGTCAGATTCGTCAAAGTATTCCACATTTATTTTATTGCTGCCTAATTGACATCCCTCCCCCCCCCCCCAGGACAGCACTAAGCACAGTCTGAACATTTATCTGTTTGATGCAATGTGATTTTTAACCAGCTGTGGAAAACGCTGGCATCCCGGTCAGGCTCTCAATGACAAAAGTAATGCTGCAAAACAATATTTATCTGAAAATAGCCCCAGTCCCTCCTCACCATGACCCTGCCTTCAGACAGCTATGCCTGATTTGCTGCTGCCCCATAATGCAGCATGCACTAGAAGAGAGGATCACAGCCCCTCCTGGCAACAGCAACGTTGGGCCAGTGGCAGTCACATAGAGACAAAGCAGGAGACAGACACCCTGGTTAACCAGGTCAGTGCTTGGGGGCTGTTAACTCTTAGTAACAGATGCCCTTGGGGAGTTTGTGGCCTGTCATGGGGGACACCCCATCCCCAGAAACCTGGTCTAGTGGAAGGTGTCCCTGCCCATGGCAGGGGATTGGAACTGGATGAGCTTTAAGGTCCTTTCCAACCCAAAGCACTCTGTGATTCTATGATACAAGATCTCTAGGTCTTTTTGAAGCAGAGAAGACAAAATTCTCAAGTATCAGCGAAGCATCATGAGATACATATCCACCATCAGCTTTGCAAGTTTCTCTTTTTACCAGCCATTCCCCGCCTTCCCTTTGCTTTAATCAAAAGCTCCAGTTTCAAACTATCTGCTTGTGTCAAACCATGCACCAAACTGTGTAATAGAAACATTCTTGCTCTGTGGTTGCTTTACAAAACTTGCATTCTGGTGTCACAGCCCACTGAAATTGGTGACCCTATTACTTCCTAGGATTGTTGCTGTTCTGGCATGCACAGGAGTGCCACAAGCTGCACATCAGGGAATTTATACATGTATACACGCACATAGAAATACAGTTCTTACTGTACATGAAACAGGGAAACAGAGAGGAGCTGCAGGAGAAAGCTCATAGTAAAAACGTAGCACTAGCAGCAACCCTGCTGGAAACAGCCACAAGCAGGAAAGTCAGTTCTTAACGCTTCTAAATGACACATGTGCCATCCCACCTGCACATGTGCATGCATGCAGAAGAGGGATTCAGCATTACTGGTAAAACACAAGTGTTTGAGAAAGGATTTAGATGGTGAAGGGAATGACTTAATGGGGATTCTCATGGGGAAAAAAGTGTGAGAATAGGAACAGTGACACTTGTGGAAGAAAAAAGATTAACAGGAGCATTAAGGCGGCATCATTAGCCTAGTAAACAGTAATAAACCAGGCTAGGTAAAAGCATATGGGAGTTACAGGGGTTGTCTGGATAACCAGACAACATATGTCCAGTTTGAGAAAGAAGCTTTAATGAGTTCGATGAAGAATGAATTCTGCCACAAATCCTGAAAGCACAGAAAGTTTTAAAGGGATAGAGAAACCCCAATGAGCTATGTATATTCTTCAGGAGCTATCATGCAGAAGGCATTTCATGCTAAGGCTGCCATCAGCTGCACTGGGACTAGTCAGGCTTCACAGTTCAGGCTGTATTTATTTTGATTTGGTGTTAGCCAGCTCAAGTACTGCATTTGCCCCAGGTGCTCAGTTTGTTAACCTGCCATGCTTTTTACTGATAACTTCCTTGCACCAGCAGAATGTGGAGTTAATGAGCAGGATAATGAACTTGTCCTGACCCTATATCCTCTAAAACAGCAATAGAGCCAAGTGTGTGGGGTGGGCATGGACAATCTGGAAACACAAGCAAGAGAGGCACTCCCTCTCTCCAGAGGGAGGCCTGGTAATCCCACAGATTTCCTTCCTCCCAGCTACTCAGCATAACACTGTTACCACCCTGAAGTAGCAAGTTCTATAAGGCACTTCAAATATTTCGTGTTAAGATCTGCCCAAAATTCAAGACAAAACTTATTCAACGCAACAGCTCCAGCTAAAGCTCTGCATCAGTCCTTGTGTAGCACATAAGCTGAGCAAGAAAATCAACCCAGAGACCTTACACTTCTGAGTGAGCTGCTTGATTCAGTGCATCTCTCTCAGTGTGTCACTCAATAAGGGTGTCATCCCACGGATGCCTGTCTCCTTTGCAGTAGGATAACCAGTTGTCATCCTTACCCTTAGTGGACAGACAGGGATCTTGCCTGCCACTAAAGAAAACAGGCAGGTGAGTGATTCCCAGTTTCAGGACAGCGTGCAAAGCCTTTGCGCAACACAGACAGTATGCATTCTCCCAGTTGCATCCATCAAGGTCAGGCACAACACAAGTAAATACTCATGCCTAGCTTTACTCCTCTTTATCAAAATTCAGTCTAGCTCCAGTCCTAATTTTCTCCGGTCCTAAATTTCTCAGCATTTGTCACCTGGTATGAACTATGTGCTATTGATGTATGTGCCCAGTGTAAAGATTAATTGAAGAACCACTATTCAGGAGGGGTTAACTTAATTCCCTTCTGTAGCTGCTCTGCAGTATTTCATGCAACTTGTGGCCAGGAATATTTTATTAGCTCCGTGAAAAGGGAGTCATGGCAAATGCTGTTGCTCAGTCTTGGTTAGCTGACACTGCTACAGAAGTTCCAGTTCACAGAAAAGGCTGAGGAGGGGACAAGACAACAGAGGGAAGATGGGAGGTGGCTCCTTCCAATTTGAGGACAGAAAGCAGAAACAGCTCTGATACATCAGGACAATGGCAATTGTACAGTACTTTACACAGAGGGATGGTCACAGAAATGGTTGGAGACACTGTGCTATTGCTTTTGACTTCTAAGAAAAATAGGGTTTGTGGGATGGAATTTCCTTCCAGTTGACTCAGTGCATTCAAGATTAAGAGCTAAGCCTGATATTTACTCCTGGTTTTGGGCATAATTATCCATCAGCCTGAAACTCCTAAACCTGATTTGGAAGAAAGGAAAGCAAAGACCATCAGATTAATCCTGCTGGTATAAAAATCGTTAGAGAAACACATAAGTAAAAGCTGTGCCACCACCAAAAACAAACAAAGCTCTCACAGGAGATTCTAACTTTGAGGGCAGGAGAGAAGATCTCGTCAGCCACAGAAAGCTGCTGCCTGGCCAGTGCTAGTCTCTTCAGGTGCTTGGAGTTTCTCCAAGGACCTGTCCTCACATTTGCACACATGCTCAAGGACAGAAAGAGTAAAATTATGTTTTCCAAGCCACCTTTTAGTCTATGCTTGGGGGCTGCTTCCTAGACTTAGTTTTGAATGGATGTTTTGGTCAGGGAGCTGATGATTTTCTCCATCCCTGAATGGGTGACTAACCACTTCATGGAAGTTTAAATACTCAGACCACTTTGAGACACATGGCTGGAGGCTGTTATCCAGGACACAAAGCAATCAGCTATAAGTTTGCCCCAAAAGTTAAAAAGAAAGGGCAATATATTGGTTAAAATAGAAAGACAAACAAAATATTCAGAAATACAGACACCTATCCAGGCAGACAGTTTGGCAGCTGGCAATCAGGTTTAGAGTCTGACATCTCTGAATAAGAGATTTTACATAAATACAATTCTACATTTCTTACATCAGCTTTATAGTCAGACCTCAGTCCTGCAGCTGATTCAGAGCTCTCCTCATGGTCCAGAAACTTTGACAGGTTTCACCAAGTCTGCCTTTTCATAATTTAGTATAAATGCCAATTCCAGAATGCAAATTGACTGTGAGGCCAGCTCTTTGAAGAGCTGGCTATCCTCAATTGCCAGTGAAGTCAAGGAGAGTCAAAGCATCCATAAAAGCACAGGATGAGAGTATATTACAAAATGGACAATTACCATGGTATGTAATCCTGACACATTCAGATAGTTAATGCTTCTGGGAGTAGAAGAGTAGCCAATAATAGAAGCTAATAGTTCATTCCAAACAATGAGAGGGAACTAGATGCAGTCAAATTCTGTATTTCAGCATAAATACTGTTAATGTGTTTCTAAATGGGTGGGCAAAAAGACAGTTTTAAGATAGAATAATTAAGCCTCCTTTATGAAATGTCTCTGCAGACATTTTCCATTATCTATTTTCTTATGTATTAATAGAGGATCAGAATTATAGTTTAATTATTCATGGAGTTCTAAAGAGATACTATGTTCAAAAAGTCATTGACATCACACACAAAGTCCACCAAACTCCCGTACACCTTAATGAGGCCAAGCAAGAGACATGAAGGGCAGACTCAGGATGGGTGGACAGGAGAGCAGGAGGACACTGCACATCTTGCATCCTGCTCCTGGCAG